TATCCCTGGTAATTTTCGCCGCTTTCCCTGATGATTTGCTCTGGTTTGATCCAGATCTGGAGGAGGGCTAGGTTTTTGGTGTTGATTTTGAGCAGCTGTGTAGGGGGGAGGGGCGTGTGGGTGGTGGGGAGGGTGAGAGAGGGTATACTTGCGTGGGAGGTAAGGGGGGTGGGGGAAAGTTGCGATTTGGAAATTGCGTCGTGGGGGATGGCATTTTCTGTTGGGCCTTGTACGGTGATCGACCTGGTAAGCTGGCGGGTGATCGGCCTGGTAAGCTGGCGGGTGATCGGCCTGGTAAGCTGGCGGGTGATCGATAGGTTGGTATGGTACATTTTCTATCGGGCACACTGTTGCCAAATATCACTGTCCATATTTTTTTCATGGGGAGGAAACAAATAGTCATGCGTGGATATGGAAAAATAAAGATTCATTTTTAGTCTACCATTCCACAGGGCATCAAATATGTTGTTGCCACCCGTCTATGGTTGCTCGGTTTTGCCCCATGTGGTGCGCCATGATCCATTGCTGTTGCTCAGAAAGTCGTTCGCTTCCACCCTCCCGTGGCCGGTTGCAGTGAAGACTAAGCATATTTGCATTTATTTGAGCCAACTATGATATATATGGTGGCAAGCAATCCTAAAATCAAACTGATTAGTGTGTTTAATTCGTATCATGACATTCCCAGCACCGAAATCTGAATAGTTAGACAACAATGTAAACCTTCATCGCCGGAATCGGAATGAAGGTTCATTTCCTTTTACACAACATCAGAATTTGCATGGTACTAAAGCCGCCTATAACTCACCACAGGATCAATGCTTACTGGAGCATAGCACAACGCATGACAGACTCAGATGCACCATTCTCAAGTCTGAAGCATTCAAACGACGAGCATTCATATCCGTTCCAGGAACAAAGCAAAGTTGTACTAGAGGCTAGACCTACTACTAGATGAAGTTCTCAGCTTATCCCACCGGCAACAACATTCCAACGATCCAATTATCACCAACGGCATCAATGTTACCAAAAAAGAGGCAATCAAGAAACCCAGCGCAGCTTTGAGAGCACGATCAGTTGCTCATGATGATGTTGGATATTACATCCCCCAGAACTCCTTCATCTGCTTCTGGTTGCGGAGATCTGGTAGAAATATCAAGGAGTGTATAAGTGTGCAGTCTAGGATCATGTACAGAAGGAACATAGTTAAGTTAGAAAAACATACTTCCAATTTAACAGAATGGGGACAAGACATTAAGAAGATTATATATGCACATAAAAGCATGTGGCTTTTCAGGGAAAGCGGAACAAGACAGTATGCAGTCGATATCCGTCAGCAAATAGCACAGGAACATACACGCAAGTGAAGCATTCAAACGACGAGCATTCATATCCGTTCCAGGAACAAAGCAAAGTTGTACTAGAGGCTAGACCTACTACTAGATGAAGTTCTCAGCTTATCCCACCGGCAACAACATTCCAACGATCCAATTATCACCAATGGCATCAATGTTACCAAAAAAGAGGCAATCAAGAAACCCAGCGCAGCTTTGAGAGCACGATCAGTTGCTCATGATGATGTTGGATATTACATCCCCCAGAACTCCTTCATCTGCTTCTGGTTGCGGAGATCTGGTAGAAATATCAGGGAGTGTATAAGTGTGTAGTCTAGGATCATGTACAGAAGGAACATAGTTAAGTTAGCAAAACATACTTCCACTTTAACAGAATGGGGACAAGACATTAAGCAGATTATATATGCACATAAAAGCATGTGGCTTTTCAGGGAAAGCGGAACAAGACAGTATGCAGTCGATATCCGTCAGCAAATAGCACAGGAACATACAAGCAAGTAAAAGTACTGATAATGAAAATAAATACAAAATGCTATCTGAAGAGAAGGTATGACTCACAAGCACTCCCGCTGTGGCGGACATAAATTTTCTCGACTGGTATACCATTTGCCATAAACAAATTTGCCAGCTTATGGACTCTCCCATCATCCTTTGAGCATGTGATCTTCACCATTCGAAGATCTTTGCAAGTAAATGATCTTCCCCGTAGTTTGATACATGTTTCTGATGCCTCTCTGGCATTGAAGTTCTTTTGCAGATAAAAAAGTTGTTGTTAAGCATGCGCTAAAATACTCAAAACTAAAAGATAATCAAGTAAGCATAAGCCCCAAATATGTAATTACACATACAATTTTAAGTTGGAGAAAAAGCTTCTGTATATTAGGTGAGTGCTGCAGCAAGAAAATTAATGCATCAAAGTCTACAGTCATACACCATTCGCCAAGAGATAGGGTCTTCAGGTTGCCAAAATTTGGACATGTATTCAGTTCCCTACTCAGAACAACCTACACATTGCACATAACATGAGTATTCAGCAACTAAACATAGTAATTTGAATCGATTTTATATTTTATATATTGAATACAATAGGTTTGTTTAATATGCAGAGAAGAAAACAAACATACCAACCACGAGAAAGAAATTAAGACATATAGTGATGTGTTACCATGATTAGTACCTATTTGGTACGCAGACTCAAAATAGTTAATTACACAACGCTTTGAACAGTAATCATTTAAAAAGACACACTACTTCAAGAATGTAAAAAATAACAAACAATAATCTGAAATAATATATAATGCTCTCTTGAAGCTTCATACTTCCATATCTCATTGATTTCACCTACTACATTTGATGATGAAATGAGCTACTACTAATTTCTTGATCTGAACTCTTCTCCAAGTCAACTGTGCCTTTCTAACCAGGTGGTGCTACTTATGTAAAAAATGTGCTCATTGTACATATGTATTCTGTTGGGAGCAACATAAATTTCTTTTGCAAACATCAGAAAAAGTTGTTAAGAAAAAAAAACAATTATGGCTATATCAAGGAAATCTTCATATATACTCGAAGATAGAGAAAATAGTAAAAGGTGGTGACAGCTATACCTCTCCAGCATCAGTCAACAACTCCAAAGTTCTAGCACTTGAAAGACTCTGAAGAATATGACGGCCACCTAAAATCTTCGCATCATTGCATTCTCTATATCCACCATAGATACTGTCTTTACTGGAAATCAGGCCTTTACCTTTGTAGCCATACTTTGCATCATTTGCAATCTCACTGTATGCATAGGTATTGTCATCGTTGTCGATATCACCACCATAATTATAATTATCCATGTGATGATCATGCCTGTAAATTCCTTCAGCAAAACCATGTCCATATCCAAACCTTATAAAATCATCATATCCAACATTATCACTCAAGGAAGACTCTTCATGAATCTTCGAGCTCTCTGTCCAATCATTGTAGTCGCTATCATCCCCGTCGTCATCAGTAGTTCCATCACAGTAATCTTCATCACTGATGTATTCATTGTCATCACCCAAGAAAGAGTCATCAAGTATGATAGTAGCTGTGACAAGTGACCCCAAATTCTTGAATGATGGGACTCGGACGTAAGGTGTGATGAGGTGCAGAAGTAGGAGGTTCGGAGCAGCAATGGAGAAGGCGCAACTGATCTCGCATTCGAGCATGATTAAAGTCTTCAAAGAGGCGGACACAATCCTAGGGCCCGCCACCAAGCAATCCTTCAGACCTAGTACTTCCAAAGACGTGCAACTAGAAGAAAGCTGCCTGAGGATCCTGTAGTCGAGCATGGCATACGACAACTTCAAGACCTTGAGGTGGCAAGAGATGAACGACACACGGTCCAACGACGCGATCTCCGAGCAACGCCCGGTGAGATGGATAACCCGCGCGTTGCGCTTGATGGCGGCCCTCATCCACACGCTGGTGTCATCATCGGTGAAGCCTGCTTCTTCGTCGCTCGACCGCAGGCGGAGCATGACCACGGGGGCTGACGCTTCACGTAGGAGGAAGAGCCGGTGCACGAAGTCGCGGAACTTCTCAGGCGGGTCGCCGTAGCGGCCAGTGGAGGGGCGCACGCGGAGATCGACGCAGGGCACGGACGCCCAGAGGTGGCGCCACCGCCGCGCAAGTACGCAGGTGCGGACCACCTCCCACGCCTTCAAGAATGACATGATGTGGTGCAGGAGCTCATCCGGGAGGGCGCTGAGGCGGTCGCGCTTGGCGGTAGCCCAGCCGGCACCGCGGCGGTGGCCCGGGCGCTGGGTGGTGCTCCGGTGCATTTCGGCTCGAGCCGAAGATCTGCATGCAGGTTTAGCGACACCACGGGGCTCAGCCTTGTCAGTCAGGATTTTGAATGATGGAACGGAACATAACATACCAAGAGAGTCGGCTTGAGATGGCCAAAAGTGAATTCCGCCAAGAGACACTCACGTACACAAGAGCTAGCAGAAGCACTTGATTGGTTCATGTACAAGCATGCACTAGTACATGAGCCTGACTTGTAGTACAAATTTGAAGGTTTTTAAACCTTCATCAAAGGATATGGAGTGCATTGCCGTTTGTTAAGGAAACTCACACAAACAAACTGCGGAGTGGAATGTCACAAATTCTCCAAATCCACTACCCAAAATAGTAATAAAATGATTGTACATTAGGGGCGGCGTTGCCGGAAAGGAAAGAAGGGGAGAGGTGGCCACCTTGCAGCTTGGGCGCGGACGGCGTGAGCTCATCCACGTCGTAGATGTGCCGGAAGCGGGCACGGTGAACGTCATGCGGTGCCTCGAAGGCACCTACACCGGCGGGGCCCAGCCCCGCCGTGGAGCTCACCGTGGCGACGACAGCCAGTTGTCGCTCGGAGATGTGGGGCGTGATGTCCGATGGCGGCCTTGAGTCGGAGTAGTTGGGGAATGGAAGGGATGCGCTTGGCACCAGATCTGGAGCGCCGCCGTGAAGCAACAAGGGAGATGGTCAGATGGGACTATCACGGGAGCAAATCCTGAAATAAGAACCGTGGGCGCCCCTGCGCTCTAGAGCTTGGGCACTCTCGGTCGTTGGATTGATTTCTTTATGCGTTTTTGACCATTCGATCTCGCTCCCAGAAGACCTCGACCGTCGGATCAAACCAAAAACACTGCCGCAATTAGTGTTGTGCCCTCCAGCATGCCACCGCCTGTTATTTCTATGCCCCGCCGAGGGCATTTTCGTCATTTCACGTCTTAGGTCAACACTTGCCCTTTTTCGTTTCGCTGCCTCCTTTCCAATCAGTGCTAGGACTATTACGGGAGCAAATTCGTTAGAAACAAGGGTCCTTTTTGCACAGAAGCGTGCATTTCTGCGTACACATCCGTCCCATTGAATCTGTGCCATCCATCCTCAATCTAGTGGTCCAGCTTCCAGTTTTCTATTTTTGCGACTAAGAGACAGATTCTATAGCAGTCACCCGACCAATATGGCGACTTTTGATTGAAAATGTCATTTTAGTATACTCGTCATCCAGTCTTCGGCCTGCATTGAAGGGTGCTCCATATTCAACCCTTCAAATAATGTGGGTCATTGGTTTGGAGCATGCGTCATCCACCAACTGCTCGAGCGGGAGGAAACTTTTGGCTCGGTCTCTTCCTCCCGCATGCAGCCCGATCAATGCCGTTGTCGCCCGTGCAGTTGCCGCTTCCGCCCTGACAATGTTGCAACCACGTATCCACCTGGAAGAGTGCCAACTAATGCTCTTCGTCACGTTCCCCTCCGGCATGTGGCAAATCAGCCCCAATTTCCAGCCGGAACACACCCATTTCGCGGGTATATGGACCCATTACCTTTGCCATCAGCACCACATTTAACCTCTCTCCCCCATCCCCATCGCCAACACACTCACCTCACCGCCCCCCTTCACCGGCCGCCACCCTGCCCTCTCCACCCCTGCCGCCACACTCAATCTCATCGACCATGTCGATGTAGTCACGTCCTCCCTAGCAAGACCAAAGAGGTCCACACCGAAAGAGGGTTCTGGGGGAGGATGTGGGACTACTTCAAGTGAATCGAGGATGACGCGCACCGTAAGGCTAAATCAGTCATCGTCCGTGCCCGCCTACCCACCGCCCTTGAGTATTTTGACTGAATGTCGATGGCAGCCTAGGCAGAAATGGGCGCCATGCTCACGCCGCTTTTCAAATGCACGGTTATGACCACTCTGCTAGAGTTGCTCTTATATCTCGCCAGCACAACCCATAAAACCACCCTGGCTCTGCACCATATTTTATGGTTTGGTCAAGCTAGACTCACTCTATGGGACCACAAGCGGTGGGACAGAGAGAATAAAGGGCGAAAAAGAGGAGCCGTCGGGCGACAACCAAAACAAGATTTGCCATGGGGCAAGGTTTTGCCAATTAGGTGGACGGGGGCGCAAGTCCGATTAGGTGGGTAGAGGATAGTCCCATCTGGTTTACGCTTCCTAGACTCCTAGTTGGAATACTGGCCATCACACACATCATCTTGACAAGGGGGCCCAACTGGTTAAAATCAGAGCAAAGTGTTAAATTGGGTTAAACACGACACAGCACAACAATTTTGGGGTATGATGTGGCCGAAAATTTAAATGGGGCAAATACTATCACAAATACACAAACAATGGGTAAAAAGTGAAATTCACCATGTTATTAACAGTGTCCTTTTTCAACAACAAAAATGCAGTGTATTTTTTCAGGTGTTAGTATTTGTTATTCTGAGAGAAAATACCTCGCCGCTCATAGTTGTAGGCACACATGATTGCAGAGCATCAAGTTTACTTCAATATTCAACCTGTTGTATATGAAGTGTATTTCCTTTTCACTGCATGTGAAACGCATTTCAAATTTTCAATTTTTCATTAATTTCAATATACAACTGTATTAAACTTCCGAAGATAAAAAACCCTACAGTCATACTGTCGAAGTGAAATAACAAAGCGAATCTCAGCTGCACCACAATTCAGGCACGGGGCATCCATAATTTATTTTTCTGTTCTTGTAAGAAAGCAAATTTTACTACAGACCACACAGATGAACTAGTTTATAGTATAGGAAGAACATCCCAACGATTTGTAGCCCATGCTACTAAAAAGGACGTCAAAAGATCGGGTGAAGCTTTGAAAGCATCATCAGTACTACATGGAGATCAAGGGTTCTTACTGCACCTTGCTAACTACATAATGGATGGTCGATCGCCGGCAGGATTTAATATCTAGAAGACCCCTCGTAAACTTCTGGATGTTACATCCAGTCGTCCCCACATTCATCCAGTTCTTGCTTGGCGAGGTCCCTCATATACTTCTGGCCACGGAGATCTGGTAGAAATATCAAAAAGTAGATGACTGTAGATTAGGACCATGTACGAAAGAACATCTTTTAATTTTACAGAATACACTTCTCATGTAACAGAATATCGATGAATACACTAAGCAGATTATATGCCCATTTATACATATTTAGCTTTTCAGGAACAAGGCAATGTGCTCTTTACATCTCAGTAAATAGCATATGAACATATAAACCAGTAAGGAAATACTGATATTGCAAGTAAATACGAAATGGTATATGAAGAAAAGGTATGACTCACAAGCATTCCCGCTCCGACGCACATAAATATTCTCTAGTGGTATACCATTTGCCCTGAACATATGTGCCAAGGTGTGGACTCTCCCATCATCCTTTGAACATTTGATCTTCACCATTCTAAGTTCATTGCAAGTAAATGGTCTTCCCTGTAGTTTGATACCTGTTTCCAATGCCTTCCTTGTGCTGAAGTTCTTTAGCACATTAACCAAATTGTCATTAAGTGTGCGATCAGATACTAAAAAACTAAGAACAATGAAGTCAAGGATCAAGTAGCATACACCAAATATGTAATCATACATACCAATTTGAGTTGGAGAAAAAGCCTCTTTATATTAGGTGAATGTTGTAGCAAGAAAATTAATGCATCGAAATCAGCAGCCATACACCATTCACCAAGGGACAGGGCCTTCAGGTTGCTAAAAGTTGGACACCTTCTCAATTCCCTAGTCAGAACCACCTTCATAATGCAGACAAAAGAGTATTCAGCAAAGAACGGTAGTAACTCGAATCAACATCTCACAGTAAAAACTGCATATGGATGGTTTATTCAACAGGAAAAAGAAACCCATCTCAAAAAAGAAAGGAAAACAACACCTATCATATAGTGATGTATTGCTAGAAGAGTAGCACGTATTGGTTTCATTTCATTCATCTTTCTTTTCTAGTAACTGAAGGAACATCGGCCTTAGACACTCTTATAAAAACTGAATATATATAGCTAATCTGTTGAAAAGATACACTGTTGCAACAAAGAGAAAAACAGCAAAGTTCCTATGAGAACATAATTGATGAATAATACTCCCTTGAAGCTACAATTGATGATTAAACAAACTAGTACTACACCAGAGCAGAAGGTCAGAAATGTGCTCATTCGACACATGTGTTCTATTGGAGGGAACCTGGCATTTCAATGTGAAACATCCAGGAAAAAATGTCCCACATTATAACTATGGCCATGCCAAGGAAAATATAAATAGAAAATAAGAGAGGAAAAAGATAAATCAGTAAAAGATGGTGATAGCTATACCTCTCCAGCATCAGTTAACAACTCCAAACTCGTAGCTGTGGAAAGGCTCTCAAGCATATGATGGCCACCTAGAATATTATTGCTAGTATAATTTCCACCACTGATTTTTCCATAGTTACCATCTTCACTGGAAAGCTTCCCTTTACCTTTGTAGCCATACTTTGCATCATTTGCGATCTCAACGTATTCATAGGTATTGTCATCACTATCAATATCGCTACCATAATTATAATTATCCTTGTAACGACTGTGCCCATATCTTTCTTCAGGAAAACCATATCCATATCCAAACTTGTCAAAATCATCATCATCATCACTCAAGGAAGAGGCATCATGAATCCTATAGCTCCTCTTATCATCATTGCCGTCATCATCAGTAGTTTCATCACAGTCATCTTTATCGCTGATGTGTTCAAATTCATTGCTCAAGAAATGGTCATCAAGTAAGATAGGGGCTGTGACCAATGACCCAAAGTCGGTAAATGACGGAACTTGGACATAAGGTGTGATGAGGCGCAGAAGTACGAGGTTGGGAGCTGCAATGGAGAAGCCCGAATTGAACTTGCACTTAAGCATGATTAAGGTCTTCAAAGAGGCGGACACAATCCCAGGGCCTGTCAGCAAGCAATCCTTGAGATCCAGTTCTTCCAAGGATTTGCAACTAGCAGAAAGCTGTCGGAGGACACTGTCATCGAGCCTGGCGTAGGACAACTTCAAGATCTTGAGGTGGCACGAAACAAAGGGCACACCGTCCAACGAC